TTGTTTTGACGTTTAGGATAGCAATTGACCAGTCTCTTTTAGCATATGTGCATCCTATGTGGATTTTCTTGATACTGCTTTAAGTGACAAGCAAAGATGGATGGTAGCCAGCAGTGGAATGCAGGACGCACGTTTCGTCCAAGTTCAGATTCGTCGGATGAGCAGACCTGCACCGCACAGTCGATATTTACTCCTGAGTAAATAATACGATAGCGTTTTAAGCAAACGGGATTAGTTTTTAGTTCTGGAATAGACATCAACTCTAGGATGTAGGCAATTTGATGATAAAAGTTTTCAAAATCCCAAAAATATGTTTACAGGAATAATGGTTTATATTTAATTGTTTGTAATTCCAAAGTTCTAATTTGATTTATTTTTGTGTTGAAAATCTTTAGACCGAGTAAGTTAAGAATCTTTACTTTTATCAGTTGTTTGATGTTTTCGTAATGCATCGCTTTTGCCTCATTTAAACATTCTTTCTAGTTTATTATTTTGAAATAATCTTTTGTTTAAATTATTAACGCTTCCTTTGTTTTGTGAAATCAGTTGTAGATAAGTGGATGAGCTTATTATTTAATGTATTTGGTGATATAAGCAATCATACTTGTTATCAGTAATTGATATTGCTATAAACAAGTTTGTTACATTTGTAAATTGTAATATGTTGATACACACACTCATACATGCCAGCATGTACACCATAACATATACTTTGAATACAACTCAAAAGTAACCGATAAAACAATTTCACTAAACGTAAACAGTTACAGTGTGAGATACTATATTTAGTGTGCTTTATTACTTATAAAGTACTTTGAATACTTTGTTCTTCAAACTCCTATTGAGTATATTAGTGATTTCTCAAAACTTGGTTATTCATATATACATTTCTTAACTTGAATTTTCCTTTGATATTATGAGAAATTAGTAATAATATCAGAAGATAATTAAATTACCCTAAATTTGTAATTCTGATTCCAATATGTTGATCAGTGTTTATTTTCACTTTGTATTATTTATTTGAATCTCCCCATTGATGTTTAGGACTGCAAATGGTCAGTCTCTTATTGGCATATGTGCATACTGTGCGTATTTGCTCAATATAGCCTTCATTCACATGGACTATATGTAAAGATGGATAGTGGCTAGCAGTGGATTCCAGGACGCGTGTCACTTCGTCCTATTTGGGACTCGTCAGCCGGATGTACTTGCACCTCACAGTTGATGTTCACTCTGGAGCTCAAACTCAGTACCGTTCGCTTCAAACGCCATCGCGTTATTCACTTAGCTACTGAGTCCTGATAGCCACTAGTTTGTATAGTGAATTCGAGCCCCAGAGTAGACATCAACTCTGAGGTGCAGGTACATCCAGAGAAGGGGTCAAAAATAGAACAAAATGCGGGTCATGGATTACACTGCTAACCTCTATCTATTTTTGTATCAGTGTTATCCAACTCGTTGATTCACTGCACTTAATTTAGGGAAAGTGGATTCAATAAATCTTTTTTTATTGCAAATACTTACATACTTACGCCTGTCACTCCTTGTGGAGCATAGGCCACCGACCAGCATTCTTCAGCGCACTCTGTCCTGAACCTTTCTTTCTAGTTCTTATAAATTGTTTTTCATTCTTCTCATATTTGGCTCAATTTCTCAGCATAATGTGTTTTCTAATCCTCCTCTTCTCTACTGGTCTTGAGGGTTCTAAATGAGGGCTTGCCTTGTGACGCATTTGGATGCTTTCTTCAATATGTGTCTTATCCATTTCCAGTGCTTCTTTCTGATTTCTTCTTCCGTTTGAATCTAGTTTGTTTTCTCCTACAATAGGTTGTTGCTAACAGTATTTGACCAACGGATCCGAAGTATTTTACATAAACAACTATTATTAAATATTTATATCTTTGTTATAAATAATTTCTGCATTAAATTATAATTGAAACTAGTCTCATTTAGAAAACGGATCATATGAAATGAACGTTCAATAGTTCATTAGACATTTTGTTTTTTCTTTTTCTTTTTTCCTTTTCTTTTTTTGAAAATTTATTAATTTCATTCATTAAACTTTTTCTTAAACTAATTCATTCAAACTAAATTTAATTATTCTCTCATTAGAATGATTGACATTTACTAAAACGAATATCATAATCGTATATTCTGATTTATTTAAATAATAAACATGTTACATCATAGAAATTAAAGAAAATATTAATAATAATAAGTTACTAATAGAAAACAAATACATTGAAAAAAGAAAAAAAGGAAGAAAAACAACGGAATACTTTAGTTGTGCTATGTTTTACCTTTTTTTAAATATATATATATATATAATGTGTAAATACTAAAAAAAAGGAAAAATAAACAAATATTGAAACATTGAAAAGGATTCAATAAATGTAAGTTTCTTTTTGATCGTATCAAATAATTCTGTAAAAGAAAAATCAATAAATAAGGTCATTAATCAGGTCATAAGATCATGATAATTAAAGTAAGTGATAAGTTTTCTTTTCTTTATTTTATATAAATATATATATAAGAGATTTTATCAAATAATTATGAAATCTAATCTGTATCAGGTAAGTATAAGAGAAATAATATTTAAACAGAGAAAAGATAATAATAATAATAATGGATAGTCTATTTCTAGTTCAATCAATTGAAGAAATATTGATAAGAATTTATTTTTTTTAATAGTTTTATTTTAATAGTTTTCACTAAGATACCTTATTCAATAGAATCTTAATCTTTCTAGAATGAATATTTGGGCTACCTGTTCCTGCCATCTAATTATTTCAACAAGTTATCTGTTTTTTCATTAGTTTTAACTTATCCCTATGTCGTTTAACCGCATAATCTATTCGGGCGCTTTTGTGAAGAGCCTACGACATTTTGCTTCACAAGTTACAAAAAATCCCTATTAACGGCATCGTCGTGGTTGGCAATATGCATTAAGCAGAATGAACATTAATCGTATGTCCATTCCTGAGCTGCTAAATTTTAACTGCCGATCACTAATCAACAAAGTGGACTATCTGCAATTCCTACTAAGTCAAAATATTTATCGTAATTGTGGTGTCATCACAATTCAAGAATCTTGATTAAATGATTTACAGGACGACTGCGTAGTATCACTACGTGATTTCAAAATTTATCGTCAGGATCGACCAAACAATAAAAAGAGGTGTGGCGGCGGTGTAGCTACGTTTCTATACGTAAACTGGTGTCGATCTTCGATTGTGTGTTTAAGGTTTTCAAATGACTTGACCAGGCAATATCCGCAACAACTTACTGTTGGAGAGAACAAACCACATCCCAGAAGAGGAAGAAATCAAGAAGAAGAGCTGGAAGTGAATAGGACACACATTGATGAAAGCACCCAACTGCCTCACAGGACAAGCTCTCACATGGAATCCTCAAGGTCAAAGGAAAAGAGGAAGACCAAAGAACACATTACACCGGGAAATAGAGATAGACATGAGAGAAATGAACAAGAATTGGATGGAACTAGAAACGAAGACCCGAGACAGAGTGAGTTGGAGAATGCTGGTCGTTGGCCTATGCTCCATTGGGAGTAACAAGCGTAAGTAAGTAAGTAAGTAAGATATTTGTCAATTACTTATAGTTTTATTTTAGAAATATTTAAATAGAAAATTTTAAATAACTTTAAGTTGAGATTTACTGATTAGATAACATTTAAAAGTGATCATTATGTGATTTCTAAGAAGCTGATTAGATTCAATGTGTTACTAAGATGTATTAGATAAGATCAATTCTAATGTGACACAAAATGTATTGAATTTCATAGATCATTCATTTAAACAGTATAATGTTAACAGTATAACTATTCTTAAAAAAAATTTATCCAGAACTTATGACTTGAACAGTATTTCTTATAAATATTTTATACTGAAGATTCATATTTAAATTCAATGCTTTGATTGGTCTAAAATAAACAAAGTGGAAACACAGTATTAATGTTCTAACTGTATACTGCACCTGAAACAGAAAGTACAATGAGCTAATTGTTAGAGAAGTTAGTATTTCTATTTACTACTTCTTCATTATTGACTTATAAAACAATCTACTTTTTATAACTAGCTCACCCTTGTCGTTTTGTTATGATTCAGTTCAAACACTCCATTATCATATTAGATTTCACGTATTTTTAAAACTGATATAATAGATTTCATCGAGGCCACTTTTGAAAACCTGGAACTACTAGACCGCTGTTCTGTCTTAATATGTGTTTCCTCGACAATGCTTGTTCATAACCCTACCACAGGGAGTCGAACCCACGACCTTCAGTCTCATCAATGAACGCTAACGAAATTGATCATTGGTCCGGCATTCAGTAGTGTTAGTATCTAAATTTAATCAATTCGCTATATTGTAAAATCCTCATCCAATACCTGATGTGGATTGTTTCACGGCGAATATGGTTGAATTTAACTCGTAAAGGCTTCTTACTAGAATCGCATGTGTTGCATTTTATAGCTAATAACTTGGTAGCATATGATTTAAACTATGATGTTTCTACAATATCTATAAATCCCTCTGCACTTGAATGATGGTAGATAGTACACATTCATAATTCACCATCTAACACCTTTTCAAACTAAAACTCATTGAATAATACTTCCGAATTTGTGTTTATCGTTTGTTGCGAAGTCTATACATCTATTTTACGAATATATACCACGTGTTTTAGATCTTACAAACTGATTTAACTGAATATGCAGTTGACGGTTTATGGATACATTTCTTTGCAAGCAAATTGTAACATCATGGTAAATTTATTACTTAGTTGTTATCTGAAGATCATTTATACATCAAAGAAACACATTTAGTTTCACTCACAATTGCTTGAACTGAATACATCAAATAACATATTTCATTATAGTAGTTATCTTTCTGTGTTATCTGTACTATACACTTCTCAATAACTTATCAATATAAATAAATTTCAAAAATTAACGATGGAAACTATCAAGACTTTTATTACGCTCAAATAACTATATCCTTTATAACATACAATTCAATTATCCATATTGACGAAGTTCTTACTGCTAAAAACTATATTTGTTTATTTTCTTTGCAGAGTGTCGAACAGACATAATATCTTGGACATATTACTTTAGTGATAAGATCCATATAAGTATTAACAGTAAATTTAAAATATCTCTATGTGGAGATATAGGACAAATGAATAATTAATTTAACGACTGCAAGACAGTGAATTTACAACTTGGTAGATTAATTGAGTAATAGTCGAAAACTAGACACATTGATGAACGTGAATAGCAACACCGTTTAACAAGAGAAAAGTAGTTTTTTATATTGACAAGTTGAATTAATTTACACACATAGTATTATTATTATCATCATTTTTTATTTGTTTACTAGATAAAGCATAAACTTGTATTGAAATGTTCATCAAATGTATCATTTATATACACATTTCACAACCGCACTAATTCAACGTGTCACCATTACTGCTACAACCCACACTTCTACTACAAATAATAATAATGTAAATAATAATGATAAAAATATCACGGCTACAACTAATAATATTATTTATTATCAAGATTTACTTCTTACTATTATGCACACAAAGACATGAAATGAATCAAGTAGTTTCTGTTGTATGTTTTTTTTGTTTCTTTATAAAAGGGGGAGATAAATATATTAACATTAATAATTTGTAAATGAGAAAAAGTATAATGATTATGAAAGGTGAAATTAATTGTTTAAAATAATAATAATGATAAATTTATAAATCTTGTTAACATCGTTTATTACATAATTATTGTTAGTAGTATGATGATTTTCAAATGAAAATATTAACATTTGGTATAATGTATGAATGCTTATATGTATGCTGAATAAGTATATAAAGTATAGAATGATAACATGGTGAAATGATATAGAAAGATGAGTATTTCAGAACAACAGTATAAAATGAAATATAAACATAGAATGGAATAGGTATGCATGGAATGAACAATAGATTATCTATTATATTCAAAACAAAAACACATTATCACAGTTTTTTTATCAGTGTTTAGTTATACCTCCATACAATAAAACGACTATTTATTTAAGAATAAAAAAGTGACAAAACACTTCAATTTAGTTAGTTCAAGGTATAAGTTTTACTTATTAAACAAATTTAGTTGTGAAGATAGAAGGGAATGAATGAGAATTACTTCGTTAATTAATAGTTTCTTTGATGCCAATGATTTTTTCATTCATAAATTAGTTTAAATTCTGGTGGTGGTCTTGGATAATTTAATTTAGATGTTGATGGACATTGTTGTTGTGTATCTTGTGGAATATCGTTTGCTTTGTTCATTTCTGGTGTTTCGTGAAAGATAACATTTGAATTTTTAGTATCCGATGACTTATCCTCATCGTGATTGTTGTAATACATGTTTGCATTTGTCAATGCTTGCAGTAAAGGAGTATAGTATTTTCTATTTGATGTAAAAGATTGACTATCACGTTCAAATGAGTCAGTTCTACCAGAAGATAAAGAACAGGAGAATGAATAATTTTGAATGACTTCATCGACTAATATATCCATTCTTTCAGCTGTCCGGGTAACTTTTTTATACGAAAGATGAAAACAGAAAATAATAACATAATTATATAAAATCAAAATCTTATTCAGAAAGTCATCTTGATTTCCTAAAGTTACAGTTTAAAAAACTGTTGTCAAATTATTTCGGTTAAAAGATACCCTTAATCTGGTCATATTTTAAATGTTGAAATTCAGGTTGTTTTCTAAACGCAACTTAACACTAATGATGATTTGCCATTAGGCTACTAGTCAATATGTCAACAATGACATAACACGGTAAACTATCCAGTTAATAGTTTTTAGATGGATCTATGCACTCTACTACGTGTCTATGTACATCAAATAAAACATTTGCAAAGTAGCAGGGAAATTAATAAAGCCAGTGACTGTTATATCCATTATCTTCATTTAAAAATATAGTCATAAAGTAATCACACATTGCAGAAGGTTTCATATAGCAGCAATGAAATTAAGTTATTTCAACAAAAATAGTCATATATGCTGTATTTTGTAGCAGGTCATTAGTGAACGAAATAGTCATTAACCTAAAAAAATGAACGAAATTCAGTTTCGTCCAACACTTTTTTTTCGCTTTACATTTTCTTCTAAAAAGATCGTTCTCCTCGGTTTTAGTGAATGTTTAAAAACATGCGTCAGTGTAAGTTATTTATAAATCGATAGTATGATGCTCTTATACAAATAACTTTCAGTTAAAATACAGATGATTACTGCTTTTTCACATTTTTATACTGTCTCTAAACTTTATATCTTTATATTCACAATCTTTAACAACAACTGAATAAACCAAGTTAAACAAACTTTTAAAACATTAGTTCATTCGAATAGAAATTTTAAAATAGAACATTTTATCAAATGATTTTTAAAAAAACAGATAAGTTCATTTTTCTTAACAGCAATACTGAACGTACCATGTGTTGTTTCATAGAATACTAAAGCTTGTTTAAACACTGATCCCGAAATATTTGGAAAAAGTTTTACGGTAGATTGTGTCAATGCTATCGATCCAGTGTGACTTGATGATGTTGATGATAAGTCTACCTTATTCAATTGATTTTCAGACATATAAAAGTGTTGCTGATTCGCTAATTCATAACGTAAATTTTCTGATGGTAAATTATTTTTTAGAGCTTTTGTAATCAATTCTTTTATTTTTACTATAACTGAAGCCAATTCATCTGAGAAACAAACAGAATAAAACACATTTTTGATATCAGCATTGGTTCAATATAGAGTCCGGTAAAATGTTTGCGATGTCAGACAAAATATTTATTACTTTGATTGTCAATGACAATAAAGGATTAAGATTAAAGTGTAGATTTTAAGCTACTTTACAGTTCGTAAAAAACCTATTCATTACAATTTTGTTCGGGGGTCTGATAAATAAACATCTAACTTTTTGACCTAAATTATTAATTTTTGACTGCCATATTTCACATCATAATTTTTGTAAAAGAAAACACATAGAATTAATACTGACTCTCCAATTATTGAATATTTTCACTTCTATACCATTATTTTATGTCTATATACTGAGTTTTTGCCGTCTAAATTTGAGTCATATATTGTATTTGTTATCCAGTGCCGCTGCAAATTAAGCATTTTAAAGACAGTAGGCCCTGTCTTGACATTCATGTGTCTTTTAATAGTTCAATTCATGTGTCGATCTAAGCTGGACCACTGTTTAAAACCTGGAAGTATTAGGCGGCCATTTCGTCCTAGTATGCGACTCCTCAACAGTGCGCATCCACAACCTTGCATGCGGGAATAAAACTCAGGACCTCCAGTCTCTCGCGCAGACGCTTAGCCTCCAGACCACTGAACCGGCATTCAACGGTGTCATTGTCTAACTTAAGTCGATCCATATATCTGATTTTAAAGAAATCGATAATAAGTAATCTAGGTAAGCATCGTTTGACACCTACGGTGTTAGGAGTACTCGGATATTTATTTATTTAGTAGACAATTATAATTGTTTAATTTTCACGATTGTAGCGTTTACATTAAAGGAGAACAGCTAGCTAATTAAATCAGTAGGATTATTTTTCAGGAACGAATACAAATTTAAGTTTGGCATCAAATTGCCAATATGTTTACTTCTCACGGAAATATAACAGAAACAGTCATGGCTAGCATTTTCGCACAACAAAAATAGCCCTTTTAAATTACCCATTCTATCTCTAATAAAAAATGTAAACAGATGATTAATTTCTAGTAAACGCTTTTATCAAAATATACTTACAAATTAAATATTATTCTATTTAAATATCAGACAACAAATATAAATACATTCTTGCCAATTTTTAAAATCTCACTTCAAGGGGTAGCCCTGTATATAACGAAAATATTTATAACTCCCACTTTTCAGTATCAGTTTCATTTATCAGTTTATTGGATAGTCATCTGTTATCATTACGAGAGCCAAATTTGTAGATAAAGCGTTATAATGTTTAAGATTATTGAAACAACAATTCGCTCATTAAATAAATGATTGAACCAGAACGACTGGTCAACTGATGGATAATGAAAATCGATACTCAAGTATCAGAACTATAACTTACGTACATAACACTTTACTAAAATGTTATAAAGAGGCTATTCATCAGATAACAGACGATTATTCAAGTATAAAAATGAAGGTTATCGAGTAGCCGTCAATCTTTCACATGTACATAAAATAATGCAATTGTTGCCAGTTACATAATACAAAACACAAGTATTTTCATTATTCGTCAAAGTTTTAATTATATATATATTAGAAATGGATAATTATTCAGTACCAACAAACTACAATACGTTTGCTAGTTCACTAATAAAAACCAATAATTGAAAACATTTTTGTAGACCTTCCCACACTTTAATATTTAGTTTACAACTGATATTCTGTGATTTTACATAGCCCATATAATGACTAAATTTCCAAATAGCTGAAAAATGGAATAATTCATGTTCATAGTAATATAAGTTTTGTTAGCAAATAAAACTGCTTCATTTTAAGCCTTGTGTTTACTTAGCGGGCTATTTAGGTTATGGCGTCTTCATTACATTAATCACTTTAAATAATAATATGACAAGTAAATAGTATTGAAAAATAAGGTTCGAGTAGTTACGATACATTGATATTGAGTAACAATAATTCAATGAACCAAGCGAGCAACAAACAGAAAAAACCTAATAGCTATGTTATTGATTGGTAAAAACTTAGAGTTATACAGAATTATCAATAAAATACGACAAAAATTCCCATAATAATTCTATTAAAATAAGATACAAAAGTGATCACTATTATTTTCGATCGGATCTTCGTCAGACATCACTCTGATATATAATTATATTTATACTCATGCATGAAAAGCATTAAACCAATCAAGGCAACGTATTAGCCGCTGACAACAGTAAAATAGACTGCATAGCTAGACATAGCAAGCACAAACCACAAACTAATATTAAAATGTGCTGTTATTTGTATAGCTATTAGCAATACTTGTTCGACTGTCATCTAAATGAGACGGAATATGTGAAACTCAAGGATATTTGGGAGATTTGACTGATACGCAGTAAGATTATGGTTTTTATTCAACGATTGAGACCTCGAAATATTTTGCTGAATAATTATACTACTTGTCATAATTAAGTAGTAAAATTGAAATTCGGAAATATATCACTAGTCTGCTTGTCGATGGTCGTATGAAAACAAAACACTGTTATCAGGATTTAAAAATGTAGGAGCTGGACAGTCGTAAACGTATTCTTCAGGTAAAAGAATGAAGTATGTTCATTTTTAACGCGTTTAAAGTTGTGAACTAAACCTGATATATTCTGTCAAGAAAGCCACGAATTATGACAGAAGGTGATCACTATATAATGTATCTAAATTATTCATAATCGTCTAGTCCGTTTGTAGACAAAAAACAGTACGGATAGGATTTTTCATTGTAAACGCTTAACATCACCTCTCACTGTAACGCTTATATTTTAAAGTATAAATTAAGCTCCCTTTAGATCATGATCTTTTTATGGCTTTTTGACTGCGGGCTTAACTAGCAATACTAGATCAGATCTTGTTCTATATGACTAAATATACGTTTGCAACTGAATTCTCCCTGAAACCGAGGATAATATTCTAAACTCAATTATTTACATACACACATAATAAAATGTAATCATTTTTGGCCAAAATTTCTTTGATGTCACTAAGCAATATTTCTGAAATGATAAATATCCAGCTTTCGATGCAATCCACGTTGAAAAATCACTAAACAGTAGTTAGAATCCACCTGAATACTCCAGTGGTAATACAATTGAATACCTTAGCAATGTGTATTTTCATCTACTGAAATATTCTCTCAGTACGATCAGCATCTGCTTTACTCTTTAATAATATTATGTTGATATTAGAGCCCTTGAAATTGAGATTCCCCTATAGCGAATGATTTCAAACGTTCATGACTATGAGTACTATAAAACGCCTGGTTAACAATAAAATTCTAGTCACCACATTTGTTTTAATTACGGTATTCATAGCAGTTCTTCACGATTTTGGTGATAGTTGATCATGTCTTTATTTATTCATTTGCAGCTCAGATACAACATGGTTTAGTCATGTGAGGTATTCAGTCTTGTTTGATAAAAACGATATTTAATAATAGTCAGGTTTTCAGTTTAAAAGAACAAACTATTGTTTTATGAATATCTCATGCCATCGAAAGTGAATTAAATTATAGTGAGTTGAAATATCTTGTTTGAATGATATGAACCCATAGATTTACCACTGAGTTGAATAAGTCGGGATGAATGTATAATTGTTTTCATTTTTTGCTTTTCGATGAAGATCGTACAACAGTCTAGTTATAAATATGTAACAATTAAAATGTTATATTCTCAGTACAGAACTCATTCTCTTGCTTATACTAGTTAAAACCATGAACTAACTATCATAAATGTAAGGCATCATATTACGTGTCTTGAAAAACCAAGTCAATATTATAATATCAAAAAATACCATGATATAAAAAATCCATCGAACAGTAATTATAGTTCACAAGCCTGTACTTTAAATTCAGAATTTCATTAGCTTAGTTTGCTCAGATGGTAATTCAATAAACATATACCTATATACAGACAGTGAAAACGCCAAAATTTTAAACTAAACAAAGGTTTTAATTTCAATTCACTAAAAATACAATGAAGAAACAGCAGCACAACACAAAACATCCTCTTTGGTTTTGAAAATATACAACAGATGAATATATATATATATATATATATATATATATATATATATATATATATATATATAATCAATAAATACGATAGCCAGTATTGGACTCAAGATTTATGTTCAAGAGAAAAAAACCTAGATTGTCCAATATTAGTAACAAATGTATATGTATTACAAATATTTGGTTGGCTCATGTTGTCTTATAAATATCTAATGCAAAAATACAAGTGTTTCCATTTTAGCACTATCAATGTTGTTCCAATTATTGTTTGGATTTGTTGTTTATGTTTAATTTCAATATAAAATTGAAATGAACAAGTGGTTATTCTGATTAATCGACCGTTTATTTATTCATTTATTCATTATATTATTTTCAAGGAGTATCTTAAGCGTTAGCATATATTGCAAAATTGTTTTAGTGATCTTATTGATATCACTTTGTCCACATATATTTGTTTTATATTCATTCTTGTGTAAACGTGTGTGGTTTGCTGGTGACATACAAGTTAACTCATCAACTATCTAAACATTTTTTGATTAACCTTATTATACAATACGCCTAATTTAAAAAAGATTAATATATGTATCAATTATCGTAAAGTATGAAGAACATTGTGTTGCTAATGCTTCTACTGCTTCAGTTGTTGCGATTTTATCAAGACGCTTTTTTAAATGAACCTAGATGGTGGTATAACTAACATTATTTAGTGATTTACGAGTTGTGAAAATTGTATGATCAGCACAGAATCTTGTAGCAATAAGAATCATTACCTCACAAGTAAGTACGTTAAAGATGCCCCTCCTACAGTTCTAGTGAGAAGCCGTTATGTATGGAATTCCACCTCAGGTAATGTATGAGGATTGCATAATACTGCAAAATGATTGAAGTTGGGTATTAGGACTACTAAATATCGGTTCAATAATCGGTTCGGTTAGCGCTCAGTGATGAAGCCGAAGGTTTTGGGTTCGATTCCTTATGGTGGGGTCTTTTCGAGTATTGATTAGGGGCCTCATATTAGGACGAAACAGCTGTCTAGTACTTTCGAATTTCCAACAAAGGTCTAGGCAATATCATTTCGGGATTTAAAAACTAAGAAAATTCGATAATATCCACTATTGTGGATTTTACATAAGTTGTGTAAGCAAGTAACTTAGAATGTTGGTGCTATATTTGATTCACATTAGAAAAGAGCACAATCTTTTCCCGTTTCCAAAAACGTTTATTTTATCATCGTTATTTTGAAAGATGTTTGAATTGTTAGTCACAGAAAATACTAGTAAACTGTTGAATAGAACATTATTTATCGTCTCAGTACATATACTTTGAATAGTGAATTAATTTGATGCTAAAATATAATCAACAATTAATTCCATATAAGACACAAAGTTGTAACATGAAAGTCTTGAATAGTTTTACTTATTATAGTCATTTTGACTGCTTCAAAGTTTCATGTTTACAATTTTCTTCAAACTTTACTATATAATTCATCTTCGTTACATTTACAGGAGATATATCTAATCTTAGGGCAAAACAATTTTTTCATGGAAAAAGCTACTAATTTTCTCTTAATCAGTACGTATCAGTAAACATTTTGGTCTACGTAAAAGTATATTTGTGGTGATGGTATCAAAATAAAATAACAGAAAATCATGTGCAAATTAACAATAAAATTAATTTTTTCAAGTGAATTAAGAAATGCTCTTGTAAATGAGTTAAGCAGTCGATCCAATTATAGTATACACTTCAAAATATAACGAAAAGATTCTCTCTTTTTAAATATTGTGTTTATATCTTAGATGTCTCAAAATATCAGTAATCCGAAATCGCCATTAGTTCCTACGTATACTTAATCATTATAATGTTTCTCAATGGATGCATTGATGTTCATTTGCTAATTACTAAACTGTAATAAAAATAGAATCTTCCAAGTGAAATTTAAAAACTACTCAGTATATATGATGCATCGATAATGGGTTTAGATAAACCATGAAAGTCTTCCAAGTTATGATAGAAGTTGATTTCAAATGTACTTTTCAGTGGCTTAATCAGTTATTTATTTCCTATCACTTCACCTGTAAGTCATCAAGTAGCTTAAATAATTTAAATCAAGAACATCAACCAGCTGTGTTATGTTTTGAAATAACTCATATGCAGTTCATCATAAAGTGAGGTTATCATATGAATCCGAAAATAGATTTGTCATCAACAAATGAATTTTTATAGTGCAATTTATAGATGCCAAAACATTATGATTGTTTAAATTCTCTTCTACATAACAGTTGTAAATTAAAAATTAACTAATTAAGTATTACATTTTATCCCTCAACTATCTGTAACATGTTCACCGCCTAAGTGATATATGCTCAAATACTAAACGGGAATATTTACAAACAATTCTCAAAGTAAGGATCGACTAGTAGATTTAAGGTTAAGTACCAGTTCAACTGCTGTCGTGACAATAGTTAAAGTGTACATTATATCAACAACATTTAACAGTGGATTTCTGAACATCTGTCATGATTATTTGAGAGGCTTATTATATAGGTTAGGAGATTCGAATGTGCGTACATTTTCACTTATACTAACTGATCTTTTGGAAACAATTTCCATTCACTGCCTTGGTTCATAAACAACGATATGCAACATAGAAAGGTATTTAAACCTTCATGGTTCTGTCTTGTAAAAGTGTTACACAGGTTTTATCTCAAATTTTTTTGTGTTACAACAATGCCTCCATTGCTCTCAATCTTTGACAAAATGCATCTACCAATATTTCGTTGTCTAAATTTCGTTTTTTTAATATTTTATTTTGTGTTAATATAATTCCTAATTCAGTATTTTAAAAATCCAAGATTTGTTGTTAACTTGATAAAAAAGATTGCACTTATTTTGTTAAAAAATCATCTCGTACAGTGATTTCAAACTTGTTTATCAACAGTAAAGTAAAATGAAATGAAGTTTAAAAGTCATGATTTAGTACAATTGCATTATTAAATCAATAAAACTTCAAAAATGATTGTCTACAGTAAATTTCATTTTACCTATAGACGATAGCTGCAAATCTATTTTCTAAACAGTTAAGGTTGTCAATATCTTTTAGATGATAAAAAAGCAACATTTTTATTGTAACCGAATTTAATTTTATTCAGTGGAAGAAAGAAATATAAAATAAAGAATATTAATTAGGTTAGTATTCAACTTACTGTACTCAATCTCCAATCCAAGATATTTAATTTTATTGGCTTCGTGAAACGCTTTCTTTTTAAGACGACAAATTCTGAAAAGAAATACATACACTTAAAAATCCAATTTAAGGAACGCTTTGTGAACCTTTTGTAAATTGGGATTTTAAAAATAAGTGGTATCAAATAAATAATCTTCAATCACGAAAATTTATATTTTTCATGACTTATATGAATATATTTTACTACAGATAGCTCAAGACATTTTATACTATGCAGTTTTGCCAGTCCCAAACAGTTCCTGAACAGTTTACTTTTATTATTAGAATAAATTATCTCGGAAAAGTTTTTGAGCTGGAGTCTAATTTATTCAAGATTTAATTCAGAAAATATTCATTGATGAATTCAATTTTTTTATTGTGATATCTCTGACGGTGGAACTGAACGATACGAAGTCAAATTTACCAGGGAGCATCAGTTCCACCAAGTCTTTACTAATATCATGCTGAACAGTTTAAAATAGCACGAAACCTGGGTCTACAGTACTGAGTCGTCCATTTACAACGCACAATAACTCAATACGTTTAAGGATAACTTGAGAGGAGTAATAGGTTGAAATCTCTTGCGATCCGTTTAGTAAGAATATTAATCCCTCATAAAGAAAAATGATAACCACCCATTTATTTTAATAAAATATTTATGCACATACAGGTAGTATGTGATGTAAATGAGTATTTCATCGATTCGTCTACAGTAGAAATGGTTTATTAAGAAAAATTAAATATAACTATTGGGAAATTTTAAATTACCATCTCATGGTTTGATTATATCTAATCCCACTGATATATGATAAAGATTATTGTTTTTACTTTTTAGGTTATTTAATTAAATTATACAAACATTTGTCATTTTTATTCATAATAATTTGTTGAATGCCGATACATTGAAACGGTTATTAGTAAGTTATATTTTGTCATGATGATAATCTTCAATCATAAAGGTAAGAACTCCAAATTAATACTTTTGATCGAGCCATCTATCTTACAGAATACAAGACTACCAGAATTTAACTAACTTATCAACATTTCACGATGTTGATAGCTTTAATTTAATAAAATGATAAAAATATAAGTACATCGCTTTTGAAAAATGTTGATGTGAAGAAATTTATGTACATGTATATTTTATACTGTAGAATTCTGTATTTCGTTTATATGAGCCTGATTACACTTTTTTTGAAAAAAGACAACAGTTAGTAGCCTTCAACTTATCAAAACCTTTATAAACAACTTCGGTATTATCTATTTTTGTCAATGAAAATATGATAAATTTTGTTTGGTAATGATGTCGTTAACGCCTCAACTTAATACTTACCTAATGCTTACTTAACCCACTTCATGTGTACTGCACACCCTGATAATTCTATGGAAAAAAGTCATAAGAAAAATTGCCGTATTATTAGATTCTTCCCCTTTATTCTTTGAGTTCGTCAAAAAAATGTGGCCTATAGTAGTGAGAATATTCAGATATGATGTGCTTTGTTGTAAATGAAGGCAGAAATGCTTCTTGTAAATAGTGGATAACTGAGTGATTGTAATGTAACATAAACTTCACATCCGAAAGCCAGCAGTAGAAATCTTAACATGAACTCTAGTGATTTCCAGTTAACTCTGACAATTACTACTTGACTGAAATTGAACTATCAGTGACTTTCATGGTTTTCAACCAATTACTGCCTCTGTCGTTTACAACTCCCTCGTAATTTTTGTGAAAGCAAAGCTAATAATTACTAAGCATTACTGACATTTCGAACCATAGGGAAGTATTTTATGAAGCACATTGCAAAGTAGTAAGCGTGACTACACCAACTAATAACATTGTAATACTGGTTATTCTATTGCAACTGACCATTTCATAATCCACTGTCAACCAAAGAGTTATCGTTATAGTAAAGAAATATGTCATGTGGCCGAATAAATATACAAACTGTAACCAGCAAATAACTGTTTGAAATCTAATGAATAAATTGATAAAGACAACACAAATCAGCAAAAAAAGTAAATCTTTCTTATTAAATATCTTGTTAATTAAAATAAATAAATTGTATGATGAAACAGTATTGTTACATAATCATTTTTCAGTCAACCAATAAATTCACTGTTATACTCCATATGACTACGTGTTATAAGATAATAGGAACTATTCTATAAATTGAAGAAAACTCAATTAGCGTGAATGTGATCGAATTTCGACAAATTACGTAATAGAATCTCCGAAGAGATTAGCATTAATTATTTTCCTGATGAATATCTCAATACTCGTTTCTTTCACACAAAGTTCTAATTAGACTACTCTAAGATTAGTGCCATTATATTGTTCTTTCATCATTGAGTTTATTTGTAAACGAACAGTTCGTCAATGGGCACACAAATATATATACGTACTAAGGGAACTCTAACAAAATGATACTAAATTACATGAATGGTGAAAGGAGTAAAACAATGAATATATTCCAGTCAAAAGATTATTATCAAATTCGTGAGTCATGATTTCAATGAATAAATGTAGATAAAGATAAAGACAAATAAGATGGTCATTGAATTATCAATAGGAAAATGAATACAAAATTCTTTGTAATAATAATCAAATAAGACAATAATTTACAATGACCAAATTATCAACGTGATAGTTTTCGTGATATCATTTATGGCTTAAAAAGATAATCGCTATAAAATTTCCCATGATATTGTTTTTTATAAAATCCTTTCGAATAAACTATTGAAGACCTTATTGATGGAAACAATGCATACTTAAGACTATTAGTCAGATTGATCAGACAAATTCAGTATAAAGTAATTAACTGATAGAAATTTATTTTGTAGAATTTCATATTGAAATACTTAGTGGGAGTCGCTTTTCAACAAGTAACTTCCACACTTGTATAAGACTCAAAGCTTTCAATTATAACATGAGAATAACATTAAAATCCAGATAACAAATTCATACTAAAAACTATGAAGAATATAACAAATAATTATGTATAAAGAAAGGGAACCTAACAATTAAGAAACCAAGAATTGATAGAAAAGGAGATATTTTGAGTTTGAATAAGGAAACTAGCTTAAATTATTATCTGGTGCCCATCCACCAAAGTTTGGAAAAATAGATAAATGATGCTGAAATACCTTCACACTTGTAATCTGAAAATAATTAATTTGTAGTTCACAGGAATATATTACACTTTGGTTGCGTATATTAGTTTCTGTGAATTACTACTATATAAAACATAGATTATGTTACATGTTGTATATACTGACAAAGGATATATATATCAGCGTCAAGGTTGGACTTTTTCTGTTATATCGCAATGAGTAGAAAATTTTATTTCCGACTTTTCGTGACCTAATGTAAGCCACTTCGTCAGGTAAATAAATAACCGAAATAAATTAACACAATCATTATATGCAAATATGGTTAGTGGCAAGCAATGTAATCCAGGACGAGCGTTTCCTTCTATTAAGAACTCGTCAGATGGACTTACCTGTATCCTAGAGTTGATGTTCACACCGAAACTCGAACCCAGTACCGTCCACTTCAATCATCATCGCGTTATCCACCTAGCTACTGAGTCATGATGGTCACTTACTTGTTCATAAGAGTGAAATTATAATTCATTTTGTATTGTTTATTTGAATCTTCCCATTGATGTTTGATGCGAATGGTACTGGGTTTGAGTCCTGAAGTGAACATGAACTCTGGGATGCAGGTACATCCATCTGACGAGTTTTAAATAGGACGAAATGGAACGCGTACTGGATGTCCCTGCTGTCTCCTCAGAAAAATTGTGTATGTTTCCGTTCAAATTAAATATTGACAATGTCAATATCTGAAAAAACTCTGATTTTCAAATATTTTAGGTTGTAAGCAGCTGATGAGAACCTGACGAAACAAAATGAATTCACATTATTCTGCACTAATCTTTGTTCTAGCTCAACTTGATGTATTGATAAATCAGATAAGACCGTTTTTTCTATATATTAAATCCATTAAAAGGTGATTTTCACAATATATGTAATATTCTGCGTATTAAATACATATGTATCAAACCATACAATATTATATCGAAAGCATTCACCTGAACAACATATCTTTATTTTAATATTATATTAAAAACTATCAATTTGAAATTTAGTTATAATCTTATGATTCATAGTATGCATGTAATCATTAAATTTTCATTTACAGAGATGACACTAGAAATTAACATATTTCATATCCACATGTCATTGATCCGATTTATTACGTAAAATGATGAATACTCTCTGATAATTTCAGGCAGACATAAGTAGCATATAACACATATAGAAAGCGGAAAACCTGACATCAGAAGGCCAAGAAGATCGAGTTGAATAAAGTGAAAGGGAAAATATAAAGAAGTTATGAACTTGAAGAATCAAACAGAATGTGAAGGACAGCTGATGGATATTTGCAAACAAAGTATACAATGTATGGTTCTTATATTTTATCGAGATACTCTGGTTGTCCCCACTTGTGTTCTTGTCACAACCGTTCTAGAAGCACCTTAAAGAATTGAAGATTTTTCGGACACATCTAAACAATAACAATAATTATTTTACAGTCTTTGATTAAAAACAGATTTTGAATATGATTTCTTTTTCAACGATTTTAACCACAATGCTTTAGTTTCTATACCATAAAATTATCTACTCTAATCATAATTCTTAAAGATTGTAAGGATAGTTCACTGATCTGTTGAATTAACTATTTCTTTACGTAACTGTGAACATAGGAAACGTCCAATGAGAGACATTTAAGAATAGATAATTAACACTTAGCCACTGCTAACGTAATTTCCAACGATTCTTTAGGTAATTAAAGGATACAATTTTTATTACATAGAGCACTTCACTGATTACGTAATCCCTATATTGAAAATACCTTTACTGAGTAAGAACGAACATCAAATATATATGAGTTACTTCTGAGTCTATCCCCAAAACTATTCACTTGATTACCTTTACATTAAAATGATTTTTTTACGTTTTTGACCAACCATATCTACAACAAAACAAGAATGTTACTAGTATAGGAGTTTCATAAAGGTTCCAGGATTTTTTTTCTTTCACCACAGACTCTTGTATACGGCTCTAACGGTAGTTAGATTATCTAAATCATTCAAACAATTTTGACCGAAAACGCTGATTTCATCTCTATAACATTCTCACTAATCAAGACATCAACGTAGAATAAAATACCAGAATTCCTAAATACTAATGGAAAGTACGGTCTGTAATGACGTTCGGATCTATCGAAAATGCAATGACGTTGAAAAACTGTAAAAGTAAACACTTTGTGATGTGCATTAATGTCAATAAATTACTGATTGTAGTTATGAATTACTAAGAAACAAGTCAACTGCCAAGATATGAGCACAAATTACATGATTTAGGTTTACTATCACAGTCAAAAGGTTAGTTATTCATCTTCTCTGACATATTCACTATCTTATTATCATATCTTTAATTTTCCATTTTACAATAAATATTGTTGTCATTTATTTCGACGTGACTTATTAATTTTGAATCTTAATTTTGACAGGAAGTTCTATATTTCTGAGCCATTTAACCTATGAGCAAGTTGGTTGAAGTAAATGCATTAAAAATCTTCTCACCAGATAGTAGATTTGTGAAGATTGCTAATTCTTATGGTGCATATCAAGGACTGATTTTAGTCAAACAACTGTTGAAAATCAGGAAGGAATGGATATATAATTCATCGTAGTATGGAATTTTCAACAATGTCCATCTATGATCCTATCGGGAATCGAACTAAAAACCTCCACGTCTTTCAGTGTGAACTTAACCTTTAGACCACTGAGCAGACATCAAATGATTTACATATCTAACAAAGATCAGTTCATGTTAACTCAAAACCTTAACATTCCTCACAAACCTTTTATAGAATGATAAGAATCGTGTACTCATATCGACTAGTTTCATGAGGTAATTACGGTAGTTCTAGTGAATAGCCATGGCTAGTGGATTTCAACCACGTCAAGTATGAAGTAATTCGTCACCATGGACACTGGGTGATGGTTGCGTAATGTCTCAAATTGATTGAGGTTAAATGTACAAACCATTGGATGCTAAAGTTTAAATGCTCACTGAAAGACTTGACGGGTTTTAGTTTGATCCCCAATGGGAACATGAATTGACATTACTGAAAATGTCCAACCAAATGATAAAATATATATCTTGTGCTTCCTCATGATCGTAAAACCAAGGTCAATCCGTGATGTGAATAATCGAAAAACATATTTTCTTTGAATTATTTATGTTTTCTTTTGATCTGTGTTTTCAATCAGTATAATAACAGGGAATGTTTTCATGTCGACCTGCAGTAAATAGACAACTTATTGATCATGATGTCTATAGTTAAATGATAAAAAGTGAATGCCTGTTACTTCACTCAAAGCAATGAATATGTTTGATTTAAAATATTTAACTCCTGAGATCTAGTATAATAAGACTTACTTGCTAGCCAACTTGTTTTTTTCGCGTTTTGCCTGTTCAACTATTTTGGAATTGAAGATACTCCCAGAAAGATCCTGAATCACCTTAAAATCCAAATTCATATCTGGCTGATCAAGCACCGAACTTGCACCTGTAGCGATTAACTCACCTTGAGCTGTGATATTTCTATTCAAATGAGCAAGTTCTTCCCCCATAGAACGCAAACGCATTAAATTTGGAGTCACATCATTACCGTCACCTCGACGCAATTTCGAGCAATGAACTAAATCATATCTTCTTTGAACAGGATCTTCAAAAACGACAAATGGATATCCTGGCAAGGATAATGGGGATATAGGATAATGTATTACTGGATTAATAACACGAGAAGAAGCACTAGAAGACACGAAATCATCTTGATAGACACTTGAAGTGCAATTTTCTGTCAAACTTGATTGATCATCTTCAGCTGAATTATTCAAAATCATTGAATTTGTCAAGCTTAATAATGGAGAGGCCTTTGGACCTTTGCACTGGGAGTTATATAGCCAGAAGTATGCACCACTCGACAAGTTGAAAGCGTTAGGGATGGGTACCTCTGAACCGGTATCTTCAAAATGAGTTTTCAAAGAGAAATTATATCAGTAAGCATGTGACTGATTTAAAATATAACGTAATTTCATGTATAATATGATTATCGATTTTAATCTCCCGAAATCTTTCCTAAGGCCTGATAAAACATCCAGAAAAGCTACAAGCTTTATGTGATAAGGCACCACGAAAGTCACCTAACAGTCAATTAATTAATTAACAAGAACTAAATAGATAATGTGTTTATGAAAACGATGATAAAAAGTCTCATTACATAGTGTTCATGAAATTAATCAGTTATTGTAATGTCAATGAAGGATAATTTACCAAGTACACAAAAGGCTTCGAGCTAGAATTTTTTAACATAATATTTGTTTCTAGTGCCTGACGACACAAATCAAAGTAGGTAGAGTGATATCTCTAAACACAAATAAGTAACTCGTTTACTAATTCCAGGTCAATATATCAGACCTTTGAGCTACACACAATTTTATTTAAACTAGAGATACTTCGAAAACTAAAATAAAAATGCAATGTTTAAACCTTCAACTAATTGATTTTAGTCCAAGGTACTACCTATAAAAGTATTTATGAATATTTTATAGGTAATATCAAGGCTAGATAACATAGAACTCTGTGATAACCCTTAATATCATTGAAAATAACAACGGAAACTAATGAATACTGATATAGCCTCTTCATTAAAAAGTAAAAGCAACGAAAACAATGTTCAACTGCAAATAAAATAATATTTTAACATTCAGTTTTGATCAACTGATTTTTATCTTTAATTTATTTCATTTCACTCATTCTCTTAACATGTATTTACAAATTTGATGGTTTCATTTAGTAATCTTAAGTCAGTAAATTTAGAAAAATGTTCAAACAAAAATATTTCATACACATAGTTCCCTTTATTATTTTAAAGAGAGCAAGAACAAAAATTGGTGCAGAATAATATGAATTCATTTTATTTCGTTAGGTTCTCATCAGCTGCTTACAACCTAAATTATTTAAAATTCAACATTAATACAGATATTGACATATTTATATATAAGAGTGTGATTAAGGATCAATACATGTGTATGATGATGTAGCGAAGATTCAGATAGAGTTAATGAGCTCATAAAATGTTTGATTCGAATAAATAAATAAAGTTTGAGAGGGAAAGTTCCAGAACATTGAAATAGTGATTAGAACTCATGGAAATTGATTAATGGTAATAAAGAAAATATGAATTGAAATCAATCAGTTATGTATGATGTAATTTATATTTCAGAAAGAGTTGCAATAATGACGTAATAAATAAATAAATAGGAGCAAATTAATAGAAAGAGTGGGGGTTATTGTTACCAGGGTAAAGAAAGATTTATTACTGTCTCTTTTTGTATACATAGATCTGGTTTTAAACGTTTGATTGCTAACGCTTCAGCGAATTTCAAAAGGTTCGAGTTTGATTGTTTGTTAATCACCTTGAAGGACTTCAGTATATCAGCTTTATGTCCTGTATCAAGGAGATGTCTGGCGATAGCACTGTTGAATGCGTTCAATCCATTTAACCTTAAACTTTTCGGGATATGTTCTTTGAATCGGACGTAATTCAGTTTTTGTATGCATCATCAAGAGTATTATATTCCATAAAATTAATTTTTGTAGTTGTTTTGTCTGAACAGTAGAGTTTCAGGTAATTTTTTCAAAGAACGTTTTCATTTACTAGTTATATAACAAACATTGATGAAAAAATATGTTTGCTAATTTAGCTGAATTTAGAAAAAAAGATAGGATTTTAACTATATTGAATTATTAATCCTTCATAAACTTATATATATACATTAACGCAAGCGCTTGCTATTATCTGCTTTGTCATTTTTGTTTCAATAGAACACAAAGTAACAACAAACAACGAAACGAAATTCTGTTAAACTGATTGACTTAGTATTAAATAGCATAGAAATTCCGCGGGCATAATCAAAGTAAATCTGGTTTTTACTATCTTAAATTGTATTAACAGGTAAAAAAAAAGAAAAATATCAGAATAAGAAGAAGAGGTGTAAATTATTTATAATTATAACACATCTCTTTTATAATTACACGCTTGACATATTTAAGATTATCATAAAGAGGGTAAATTTTTCAAATATATCTTATGGTTTTTGTTGCATAGAACAAATAAATTAAAGTTGATCAATAGGAATTGTTGGAAATGAAAAATTTGTTGAAAAACTAACAAAACTAGTAATAACTTAACAAAGATTATATTGAAATATTTCATCATTTAGAATTTTAATTTAAGTTTAATATCTCTCAATATGTTGAGTTTTAGATAACTATATATGATAAATAAGAGTTTGTCAGTTAGTCGTCAATAGATACAAGAAATCAGACTATATTATCAAGCTTTTCATGTTATGAAAAGATCACTCTATCAATAAAATGATGAGTTTACTGAAATGTGTATTTTACTAGTGAAAATTCTAACTATTATTATTTATTTCTTATTACCAAGTTGTTCATTAACCTTTGATATTATACGAAGTATTACATAAATACGTTGATGAAAATAGTATTTCGTAATTTACAAATAGTCTTCTATTTACCTTAAATGAAATAAGTTTAAAGAAAGAAAATATTAATATACACTCAACGTTTCATAGTTTTCATATTCTTATTGGCTATAGTAAGTCAATGCATTTTAATCATTCTGTATATGATTTAAAAGTCACTTGCGGAAAAGAAACTTAAAGAAATGTTTAGTAATGTACCTCAAATTTACAAATATTTTCTCTTTCTCAGTAAAAAAAGGAACTATTCATTAGTCTCTAATTATACCGTTTTTTCACATAATACTAAAAAAAGGAATATTTATGTTGTATTTGAATAGTCTCCCTTTTCATAGACACTGTCTGAAAAGTGTAAGTGTCGAAATATCATCTAAATCAGTTAGTCAGCATAAATCATGTTTTAATGCAAATATATACTATTAAATAATTTACATTGAACATGTGAGTTCTTTCAACCTTTTGTTTAATATAAATTGTTACAATGCTCAATAAATCCAAAAAAAGGATTTTCTAAAATGTAATAGAAGTATCACTATATCTATTTGTATGTAAATAGATGTCAATGAAAATAGTATATCATGATATATGTATGTATAATAAACAGATGTGCACATACTTTTCATATACAAAATATTAACAGAATTAATAAACTAAATGATTTTAATTTCATTGTGGGTAGTCTCATTGACAGATGACAAAATTACTAATTTACATCAATGGATAAAAGCAACAAGAAAAATAAACAATAAAATAGATACATTGAATTAATAGTACATTCTTTACTGATTTGTTACTTATTTGAAAAACAAAAATGAAAAAAAAGTAAAATTAATGAATTACAGTGATAATTTAAATTAAAGGGTTTTTTCTTAAATGAAAATAAAAAAAAATTGAAGGTTTTTCCTTCTTTCTTAGAGAGAACAAAAAAGATACTCAACCTGTTAAAAGTTACTCATCAAGTCATTTTATATTCATTTTTTAGAACCACTAATTGTAAAGCTGATCAATTACTTCATTACATTTATGTTTCATTCAATTAAGCATAAATGAAATAAATTCTATGTAGTCTGAGTTTTTTTTAGTTGTATTTATGTAGAAAATATTTACAAACTTTTATGGAATCATTAACTGATCACTATGATTATCTCTAGTTAATTAATTTTCCTTAGACTTGATTGATTCTATATTCAAAATAGTGCAGTAAAATTTTGGCTATTAATGGTGTGTAAATGTTTATTCTGTATTCCTAATAATAATATGAATGAAAGTATGGTAAAATAACATGAGAATATTTATATGATCAAAAAAAACTAATAATTCTTCCTTTTCATCATGATTTCGAGTTCATATTTAAATCAGTTTTCTTATTCTCTGACGAGAATCAGAGCTTTCATTGAACTTATGACAGATCTAAATGATCCAAAAAAGGAGTTAAATGATTTTATGTTTGTATTAACAAAAACACTGCTTACAACTTTTAAATATTTTCTATTTTCAACTTAAAACAATAGTATACATGAATATCAATGAGATAAAGTTTAATTTTTGTACTCATATAAAATGTGCACAACTATTATACTTACCTAAGTCTTCACTTCTCATAATCCTAATATTTTCTGTATCATTTCATTAAATTTCCTTACACATTTATTATCTCAATAAAAATAAATAAATAGTTAATTTAGTTGAAATAATCTACTCATCAATGTAATATTACAATTTCCCATTAATTTTAAATCTGTTCGCTTGCAGGCACCGTGATGATATTGTAAGATAGTAAGTAAACTTCCTTATTGTACACTAGATTTTCTGACATATTAATCAAGTTAATATTATTATTGGACAGTGACTAACAGTTGATGTCACGACTCACGTTCTTACCTGTTTGGCAGTGGATTTACTTTAAGCCTCAGTACTAACTAGGGTATGTTACAAGCATTTCCAAATAATACTAAAATTCATTGTTCACATTTTGTAGTTAAAGATAATTGTTTGCTTTTCGTGCTTACTGTTAAAGATGAGGAAGATAAAAATGTATGTAATATCTCTGGCTTTGCTCGTAATCTCGTTGTATCACAGCATTATGGCAATACAACTTATCTTCCTAAAATCGTTATTTTCAATAAATTGTTTTGCATGGTGATCAAGTTCATTGTAGTATGCAAAACAAACTTTGACATGTAAAGTAACTGTAAAACTGTTCAATGAAGAAATTCACAAACGAGCGCAATGAAATTAAGTCTGAAGGCAAGAATACCAAACAACTACCTTTTAAAATATGGTATCAAGTCAACTTAATAGGGTGTCGAATCCAGTAATTTTACTATCAATTACAATTTTTCACATAAAAAAAATACATCATAAAAGTAGGACAATTTCAGGATAAACAACTTATTATATATGTCAAACAAAAAAGACAATAATTGTTTATATTTTTATGCTATAAAAAAAGACCATG